AACAGTTTGATAAAGTTATCCATTCCTTTCATAAGGAACATAACCAACTTTATCATCTAACAGTTTGATAAAGTTATCCATTCCATTCATAAGGAACATAACCAACTTTATCATCTAACAGTTTGATAAAGTTATCCATTCCTTTCATAAGGAACATAACCAACTTTATCATCTAACAGTTTAATAAAGTTATCCATTCCTTTCATAAGGAACATAACCAACTTTATCATCTAACAGTTTAATAAAGTTATCCATTCCTTTCATAAGGAACATAACCAACTTTATCATCTAACACTTTAATAAAGTTATCCATTTCTACCCACTTTGATTTCCAAGAAGCTGGTGGTTTATGATTATTTGTAAAGTAGTCATGTATGTGGTAAAACAACTGAAAGTCATGTAAATTTTTTGAATAGTATTTTATAATGAGAAAACTTTGGATAAACGAAATTTAATACGAGTTACACGTAAGGTATGTTAGGCTTAGTTTCTTCATGAAATGGAATTCTGGTTATCATGTATTTTCTGAAGTTTTTACTCTAAAACAGCATGAAACTGCAAATTTTGTTTTCATATTAACCAATAGTTACAGATTAGGCAAATGTATGAATTGTTGACTCCAAAGAAATTTTAACTCTCCTAAAGTTTAAATTTAATGTTTGAAAACAGAACTGTATGAAAGTATAAGCCATATTATTTCATCGTTCACAAAAGAGAACAAGAAGGTTTCTACTAATTTTTGTTTGTCCTTTTATTTTCCTCCAGGCAGATGCCGTGTTTGCATTCCAGCTACGTAACCCGGTTCATAACGGGCATGCTCTGTTGATGCAAGATACCAAATGCAAATTGCTGGAGAGGGGTTACAAGAAACCAGTTCTGTTGCTTCATCCATTAGGTATGGGGTGATGATCACCAATGACACAAGATTCATTTAAGAATTCTTAACAACAACAACAAAACAGTTAGCAAGTCAACATGAGACAACTATTTGAGAGCTAGTCCTATTTTTGTTCAAATTATAGAGACAGAAAACCACTGTAGTTCCAAATGATGACTGAAATATGATTTTAATTACAAATCATCATTGTTTTTCTAATGATTCTGTACGCTAGATGAATATTTCATTTTCACTTTAATAAGTCAATGTGACCAGATTATTATTAGCCGAATTTAAAACCATTATTCTTTGACCTTTAACCTTGTTTTTTTTATGAATTAAAAATAGTTTTGATTATAAATAGATGCTTAATTCATAATATTTATCTTATTTCATAACACTGGCTATAAAAAGAGTGTGTTAAATAACACTTTATTTCCCAAGTGAATCCTGGTTCTCCAAGATAAACAGTCAGAGGAGAAATTTAATTGGGTTTCATTGAATGAGTGTTGTTCTACAAGACATGAGAAGAAAACCCTTGAAGAAATGATGATAAAGAATAAATTAACACGTGTAAATGAAAGTTTTTTCTTGTTTATTTTGTGTGATGTTTTAGGCAGACACCATTTATTAGGGAGTAAAAACTGTGTTACGATGGAATCAGGCTATTCCTGAATGTTTTTTTGAATAAGTATAAAAAAATTGGTTAAAGCTAGTTATCAATGTTATCATGAGAAACTAAAAGCCCTGTATTTTTATGTGAACATTCTGTGGTTGTTCCTCGATTATTAACACATTAAAGTAAATATTTTATAAAAATAATATTTTATTGGTACCTAATTTTCTGTGATTTCAAATATTAGCAGGTGATTTATTTTAATATTAATTTGAATACCTTTGGTTTGAGTAAAATCAATGTCTGTATGTCTGTGTTCCTTAGGAGGGTGGATTAAAGACGATGATGTTCCTTTACATGTGAGAATAGAACAACACAAGGCTGTTTTACAGGAAAATGTACTAGATCCGAAGACTACAGTACTTGCAATATTTCCTTCTCCAATGATGTATGCAGGTCCAACCGAGGTGTGTAAGTCATTTTCTTCAGAATAAAAAAAACATCAGGGTTAGATAAATAGCTTGAATCATCTACAAGAAATCAGTTTTTGATAATATATGGAAAAATAACATCATCTTAACTTCAAGCAGTTTGGTGTTCTTCGTGACAGTTTGATCTAATACAAGAAAATGTTTGATAGTTTACCACAGAAGACAAGAACAAACAATGTCAGTAGATGCTATGTTAGTTACACAGGTGTTAGTAACATAAACCTGCACATGATGTTCGTAGTTAACTTTAGGAAACAGAAAACATGAAGTTAGGCTACAAATTTCAAGGCTTCTCTTATTTTTCTATTAAGAATTTCATAAAGAAAAAATTTGGAGAACTTAGGCACAAAACTACTATGCTAAAGAATTTAGCATGTTAAGCCTTTCTCATTTAAAACATTATACCATTTTTTTACCTTTTAATGTTGTGTTGCTAACATGAAAATGAATAGTAATATGTATGAAATGAGAGGTTACAACATATGTGCATTTAATTAAATTAACCACATTAGGTTGCTGTAATTTTTGGCCCCTACCTAATTCTCAGCACTGTGCTGCTCTAACCCTTCTCAATCACATCAAAATGTTTTTGTTTTTTTACTTTGTGGCAATGCTACTTTCATCTCTATTCGACTATATCATTTTAAACTGCTCAAAATACTGTTGCTTTTCTTTCTAGACTTTTGAATGATTTATTTAACTTGTGACGGTGTTTATCGGAACAAGACTTCAGCCTCTATAATTCTGATATGGTCATTATAAACTTCAGGCCTTTCTTTAAGCTGGTAAAAACTTATAAGATTTGTTTGAATGTGGTTTTCCTCACAAGTAAAGATTTTTTTTCTCTGGTTTTTGAAACACTTTCATAATGTTAGAATTGATATTTTGATTTTTAGGTCGTACTCAGAAGGGTGTTGATGTACCAACGAACAGTGGTCGAGCACGGTGTATCCTGTATTTATACAAGTAATACCATTTAGGTAGACAGTCTCACACTTATTTTTCTCTGTGTTTAGGTTCAGTGGCATGCTAAAGCACGTATGGCTACGGGAGCTAACTTTTATATTGTAGGACGAGACCCGGCAGGAATGCCTCACCCAAACACAAAGAAAGATTTGTATGACCCTACTCATGGTAGTAAGGTAAGAAATGATTAAGTAAATATGATTTACATTAATGGAAATATTGAATAAATGTTTAAAAAGTGAACTGACTGACGGTTTCGGTCTGTCTACATTTTATCACTGGAAAGATGAGTGCTTAATATTATGTAGATGAAAACTAAAAATGGGTATATCTAATTAAGTATACTGTTCTTACTTCTGACAATTAAAATGCATTGTTTCATAGATTTGATATCCTTGTTGTTAGTGGTATGTTTGGCATCCGAAAAACAAAGTGAAAATTTTAGGACTTTCAATAACTCGCAGGTTAACTTTAATTGTTTTTTAGTCTCTTACTTTGAAATTAACCAGGCTGTATGACCAAAAGTGTCTCTTACTTTGAAATTAACCAGGCTGTATGACCAAAAGTGTGTCTTACTTTGAAATTAACCAGGCTGTATGACCAAAAGTGTGTCTTACTTTGAAATTAACCAGGCTGTATGACCAAGAGTGTGTCTTACTTTGAAATTAACCAGGCTGTATGACCAAAAGTGTGTCTTACTTTGAAATTAACCAGGCTGTATGACCAAGAGTGTGTCTTACTTTGAAATTAACCAGGCTGTATGACCAAAAGTGTGTCTTACTTTGAAATTAACCAGGCTGTATGACCAAGAGTGTGTCTTACTTTGAAATTAACCAGGCTGTATGACCAAATATGTGTCTTACTTTGAAATTAACCAGGCTGTATGACCAAAAGTGTGAATGTTACAAGAGTATTATTTACAATAAAATAATCTCAAGTAAATATTTAAGAAATTTATGACATTTTAAATTATGTAAACCCATAAGCATGAATTGAGTTAAAGGAAAGTACAGTTCGTAAAATAGTATCTGTCATATCCTAATGTATGTAATGTGGTACCCTTGACAACAGTACATCAGATATATATACTGTGTAAATAATGATTGTTATATAGATATAGATTTAACAACAAAGTTACCAACTGATGTGTTCTAGGTATAAGTTCAGTTTATCATGTGTATAGCTTAAGTACACTGCAGAGTTATCAACAATATAGGTTGAAGTTTCGTGAGGTTAGATATCTAACTCAGTATTTCAAAAGTTTTATTGTTCATTTTAATTTTGTACTTTACCTCTAACACAACTCTGTTACTTCTACGACAGGTGCTTACAATGGCTCCTGGTCTTACTCAGCTGGAAATTATACCATTCCGAGTGGCAGCATATGACAAAATAAAGAATAAAATGGATTTCTTTGAGCCAGAAAGAAAAGACGACTTCGAATTCATATCCGGAACCAAGATGCGAACGTTAGCTCGTAATGGAGAGAACCCGCCGGATGGCTTCATGGCCCTGACTGCTTGGAAAATTTTAGCTAATTACTATAGATCTTGAGAACCATTAACTTTTAATTCAAGCACAACGTTTGTCGTATCTGTGGGCATTGCAACAGAAACAATTAACTTGTGATTAAAGCCGTTTTTAGTGGTCCATTAAATTTTCCGGCTGTCTCTAGGGGCATGTCTTCATGTAGCACAAAGGGAAAATTCAAACATTTAATGAAGCACATTAAAGAGTGTAATAATAAACACTGGCACACGAATGAAGTGCATGGGACCAAACTGTTGAGTAATTCAAGCATTTTGTTTTCTCTTTACTGTTTCTCTTCTTGTTTAGTATGGATCTCTTAAAATATATATACATGCATTTTTTTATAATATTTAAATTAATTATTTTGAAGTACAACTTGATATCTAATATTTTTTATCATTTAAGTTTTCTTTCAGTGAAAAAAATAATGTGCCTTAGAAATGAAATGTATCCAGATTGTACTGGAAGAGTTCAGGTAAAATGATTAAATGCTTTTTTATGCAGTTTGAGAACTATATATATATATATGCTTCACAGTCTACTGCTTTGTTAATTGTACATTTGAAGAAGTTAGACGTATGGCAGCACAAATGTAACAGTACGTAGAATATGATAACCTTAATAAGGTGTAAAAAAAACATCTCTAACAACATAGTGAAATTATCAATATATAGTCTTGTTCTGACTTTTCTATTCCAGTCCTACTGGTGATAGTGGTGTGAAAACCTTTGACCTTGACCTATTAAGTAGTTTATCCTGTTATATCTGATTTCAGTGAGTATGCTGTGTGCAAAATAAAATATTACTTTTTTTTTCATTGGTTTGTTAAGCCTTTTCTCAGTGGAGTTTCATTTAATGAACTGATATGTGGTTATTCAACAGTATAAATGCCATGATCGTGTATATCAGCTACACCCAAGTTGTCTTTAGAGTAATGTAAATACCATTACGATTAACTAAATCTACAATATGTATAGAAGATTTTTTACATTAACCCTAATCTCTTCTTTGAGAGTCAGTAGAAAATTTTCATGTTCCATAATTCGTTAATATACTATATCTATACAGAAAAAACAAAAACTGAAAAAAGTTAAAAACAACCATTCACCACTCATGAAGAATAAATAAGTTGTTTTGACATTTATTTTCTGGCATGTTTTGTCTTTACACATTTTTGGATTATAGTTTAAGATGTATGTGAGTGTATATATAGTATATTAACGAATTATGGAACATGAAAATTTTCTACTGACTCTCAAAGAAGAGATTAGGGTTAATGTAAAAAAAGATAACATGGAATTTTAGGTACAGTATATAATTTTAAAGCTGTCCCTGGAGGGAAGCTGCTCCCCAAAGTGTTATGAAATAGGCAGAATCAAAGGGTAAAGTGCCCCTTTTTATTTAAAAAAACAACAACTAAAAGCTGAATTGTATTCTTTGTTATTACTTGTCATAGTGTTAATCTGAAATTAATTTCTTATAACCTACCATTATCTCCTTTGGTTTATTTACATTTCTTTTCTTCCAAATATCAGTTCTACAACCCACTGAAGCGAGTATCAAAACCAGTGATGTCATTAAGTTTCTGAAGTCTCTAATATATCATCTGAAACTCTACCCCAATCCTGATATAATGTATCCACATCGACATAGTAATAATAATAATAATTACAAAAACGAGACCTTAACATCATCATGCATGAGTGAAAGTTATCAGCAACCACAAACAAAGTTTAGTGAAAATATTTGAAAATGGAAACCAGAAACATCTATTAACTGGCAGTAGGTGCTATTAAGATAAGGTGACCCCTCCTCACACCTATACTTGTATACGTACTTGTAATATAGAAAGAGAAAACTGTCTTCAATATTGATTTCCTACTTGTAATAAAATAATGTTTAATATAATTAGTTATACTTGTTATAAGACGTTAGGATTAGGCCTATCACTGCATTCTTTATTTAGTCCGTTAGGGATTTTTAGAAGAGTCATCTTGTGGTTGTTTGGTAAATAAAGGCCATTCAAAGCTAATAAAATTTAACTGGCAGTAGGTGCTATTAACTGGCAGTAGGTGCTGAACAGAGTACTGGTGATGATCCCATAAACAGTTACTGAACAGAGTACTGGTGATGATCCCATAAAACAGTTACTGAACAGAGTACTGGTGATGATCCCATAAAATACTGGTGATGATCCCATAAAACAGTTAAAAACAGTTACTGAACAGAGTCATTGAACAAGTTGTATATTTTATACTTAATTAATTACTCGCTGTAGTTTGTAAGCAAAAAAATTATCTTTTGAAAAAAAAACTTCACTGCCTTAGAAAAAAGTAAAGAATTAATCCCTCATTAATCGCTTTTAATTATATGACATGATGATCACAAAAACAGATGCAGAAAACAGTTACTGAACAGAGTTCTGGTGATGATCACATAAACAGTTACTGAATGGAATACTGGTGATGATCACATAAACAGTTACTGAACGGAATACTGGTGATGATCACATAAAACAGTTACTGAACAGAGTTCTGGTGATGATCACATAAAACAGTTACTGAACAGAGTACTGGTGATGATCACAAAAACAGATGCAGTACTGACCTATTTTGTAGAAAAATAACATTGATTTTAACATTCCTTGTTTTAGAATTGGGTTAAAGAGAAAGCTTATCATGTTTATATATATGTTTTGTTTTACTTGCTAAAACACCTTACTTGATCCAAATGATCAATGATATGGTGTGTGTTTTCAAACATTAAGACTTGTTTTTATAAAGATTTTCAACAGGGATTACTGAATCATCACATAGCCTTCTGTTAGACATCATTGTAATGTGGAAAGTGGAAATTAGAAGCTTAAAACATCTGCAAGTTGATATAGCTTTAGAGATAACAGTAAAATACTGCATACAGTCCTGGTTAGTAAAATGAAAACCTACTTAAAGCTTAGTAGCATCTTTCCATGTGATCACATTCCAGGTAATATCAGTGAGACCAGTACTTTCTTTGGTAACAACAAAAATTACCAGGTCAAGGAAAGAACACAATCAAAGAATTGTTTCTTATGTTCTTAATTGATGAGTTTTTAAGATGTAATTTGAATGTGTAATGATTGTCTGCATCCCACAGTCATGTCAGAGTAACTCTCAGAGAATAAGTGTTTGTTACAACTGGAATTTTACACAATACCTTGAACCAGTGTTTTCCTACACTTCTTTGGCATCTTCTTAGACAAAATTACAAGATCATGAAAGAGTGGGTGCTAAATCTGAGTGAAAAATAAAACAACACCAATGTTTAAATTCTATAGAAGTTAATGTAAATTGAAATCAAAACCATAAAGTTTAAGGACAACAAGAGACCAGCTGGTCCATCTGGACCATCCCAGTCACTTAACAAAACACTCAAAGCCAGCTCTTATCATTCAAATAATTGTTAACCTTTCCCTCAAACTCCCTTATATTAACTACTTCTACCAGATCTGTGAACAACCCATTCCAAAGGTCGACCATCCTTCTTGAAAAATAAACCTGCATACTTCTATTGGTCATGCTGTTGATTTGTGGTTTATTCTGTTGGTCGTGCTGTTGATTTGTGGTTTATTCTGTTGGTCATGGTGTTGATTTGTGGTTTATTCTGTTGGTCATGGTGTTGATTTGTGGTTTATTCTGTTGGTCATGGTGTTGATTTGTGGTTTATTCTGT